TCCTGGGTGGGAGAGGCACCTTTGGCTCCTGCCTGTGCCTGCTCCCTGCTCCAGGAGGGATGGGGGAACCCTGGGATGGGGGAGCCCTGGGCTGGGGGAACCCTGGGATGGGGGAACCCTGGGCTGGGGGAGCCCTGGGCTGGGGGAGCCCTGGGCTGGGGGAACCCTGGGCTGGGAGAACCCTGGGCTGGGGGAACCCTGGGCTGGGGGAGCCCTGGGCTGGGGGAACCCTGGGCTGGGGGAGCCCTGGGCTGGGGGAACCCTGGGATGGGGGAACCCTGGGATGGGGGAGCCCTGGGCTGGGGGAACCCTGGGATGGGGGAACCCTGGGATGGGGGAACCCTGGGCTGGGGGAGCCCTGGGATGGGGGAGCCCCAGCCCTGGCCCTGCTAGTCCCTCTCCAGCCAGCTCAGAGCCATTCCTGCCTGCTCCAGGCCCCTGGGGATGATGGAGCAGGCAGGGACACAGCAGGGCCCAGCCTGCTCCCTTTTTGTGTGGAGAAAGATGCAATAAGTGAAGCTATAAAAAAGAGTCAAATCCACCCAAGAAGGTGCCAGAGTGCTGAGCAGCCGCCCCCACGCCAGAGATGTGCAGGAGAGGCTCGGGGGGGACCAAGAGCCCAAATTTGGGGTTAAAATACGAGCTAAGAGAGGTGGGCACAGCCTCAGCCCAGCTGTGCTGGCACATCTGGCAGGGCCAGCCCTCCCCAGGCCCCCAGCAGATGCTGCAGGCACAGGCAGCTCCTGTCCCCAAGGCCTGGCTGTGCTGCAGGGCAGGCAGGGGCTGGGCTGGGGCTCATTCCCCTCTCTGCTGTGAGCAGCCCTGTCCTGCTGGCAGCAGTGGGGCCCAGATCTGGCTCCAAGCACTTGCCCTTGGCCACCGAGCGGGTGAGAGAGCTGGCAGCACCTACAACAGAGCCAGGGCTGCTCCCAAAGCACCCTGCTCCAGCCCTGGTGCCAAAAGCTCCGGGGTTTGCCAGATGGGAGGAGGGAATGGGGCTGCTGCTGCTGCCAAACCTCCCCCTGGCACCCTGAGCCCCAAGTGCCCTGCCTGGGGCGCAGCCAGAGCTGCCCTTCCCACACCCCATGCCAGGGCTGGCTCTGTGCTCTCAGTGCCCCACTGGGTGCCCTTGATGGGACTCGAGTCCTGAGGTGCCTCCTCCTGCACCGCCCTGGCACCGCCGGGCCATGGGGAGGGCTGGCAGCTCCGCTTATGGGCCTGGGTTACATTTAAATGAGAAACCTCAGCCCTAGCTTGGGGGATTTTGTTTCCTTGGAAGCGGCAGCAGGCAGGAAATGAAGAAAACACGGCCCTGCTGTAAGTGTTTTACCAAATGCCGGAGGCAGCGGGAGGCACAGCCCGGCACAGCCCGGCTGCGAGCATCATCCCCGGCCACCACCACAGCCATCCGCGGCTCTGGGGCAGCCACGGCGCTCCCCAGGGAGGGAGGCCTGTCTGGAAGGGCTGTGTTGGTGGGGAGCAGCAGAGCCCCAGGAGAGGGGCTCCGCAGCCTCCCATTTTATCCCTGTCCCCCAGGGCGGCCTTGTGCCACAAACCCGCGGCCGTGCAGGGACCCGGGGCCAGCGGGACCCTCTGCTGCCCACAGGGAGCTCCAGAGGAGCAGGCTCCCAGCTGGCTCGGGGCTGGGGCTTTGTCCGGCTGGATGGGCAGCGTAACTCAGGCCTGGCCACCTCCCCAGCCCTGCCTTAAGCCTGGCCACGGCGGCGCTGGCCTTTGCAGAGCGGCTGAGCCCGGCGCAGAGCCGCTGCCCTGCCAGACTGCAGAAACTTGAGCTCCAAATAACATAATTCCTCTGGCACCCCGTGGTTATTTGTGAGCTGCTGTGAGCAGATGGAAGAGTTACAGATAAAGCCATCCGCAGCACGGGAGCCGACTGCCTTCCCCACACACCCGCGTAGGCAACGGCAAAGGCAGGGAGGAGGAGAGAAAAGCCCACCAGGCAGCGGGAGCGCCAGAGAGGAGTCAGCCATTTCTGAGGGGCTGAGCTGCCATCTCAGCACACCTACGAGCGAGCAACGGGGACTTTCTGCTGGCACCGGGCCCTGCCGGCGTGCCGGAGAGGGGAGCGCTCTCCCTCCACCCGGGCAGTGCCAGTCGGGGGTGACATTGGCACGGCGGAGCTGCCACGCACCGGGAGAGCGGGCTGCTAACGCTGATCCGAGCTGGCAGCGCCTGCACTCGCCTCGGTCCCACAGGGGGAATTAAGGGAGAGAGGCTGACGTCAGTGGTGGAAAGGACACACAGCCCACTCGTCCAAGGCAGCCGGCAGCATCTTCTGGGTGTTGCTAACACCACCTTGAAGGAGAAAATTAAATAGGTCTTTGGAGACGGGGGCTCCTGTGCAGGCGCAGCCCGGCCAGCTGCGATCCTGTGCCGAGTCATGGGGAAGAGACAGACGGGCACGGAGAGGGATCAAAGGCCGGGCCAGGGTGGCAGTGCCAGGGCTGCGGAGCTGCCCCAGCTGCGGCAGCAAAGTGCTGCCGCGGACAGGGCTGGGGCTCAACGTCGATCACTGCCAGCCCTCTCCTCCCCGCACCCAGCTGAACCTCAGCCTCAGGAGCTTCCCTGCCCTGTGCAGGGTGGGAGGAGAGCGCTCTGTGGGTGACCCGGGAAGGAGGATACGGAGCTAAGATCTCCCTATTGTTTAGGGGGTTAAACCAGCACGAAACTCACCAACACCGCCCAAACTCTGACGACGACTTCCAAGGGCTGTCACTCCAAAGGCACAAAGCCAGGTGTTGTCCTGCACCCCAGAAAAGCGAAGGCAGCACCTGGCCACCGCCACGCCCAGCCTAAGGCAGCCAGGAGCTCCAGCCGGAGCCAAGGGCTGGGACAGGCAGCTCCAGGGAGCGTGGAAGCCCCAGAGCTCCCTCCTTCCCCTGCCCTCTGCGCCCCTGCACGACTAAAGGCCCTGCTTGTTCGGGAGCTGGCAAGGCCAATTAATCTAATGAGGTTTTGCAGCCAGGGACCATTGTCAGCCAAGAAAGGCACAGCGCTGCGGAGCGAGGCACCGGTGTCTCCTAAAGCCAAGGGAATTTGGCAGAGCAGAGCCCGCAGTAAAAGCAGGGATGAGGAGCAGCAGGGACAGAGCCTTTTGTTGCTTTTCACCAAGCAGCGAGAGAACAGAGCCCCACGGAGCGAGGCCAGACGAGGCACCTGAGCTCGGGGCCAGCAGCCGCCGCTGCCAGGCACATTCACTGCACGAGGGAGCTGGAGCTGTGAAATGGAGGCAAAAAGCTGCTGCAGCCCTTCCCAGCCCAGCTGCAGCCACTCTGCTCTGCAAGATGGAGCCCGGGCTCATTTCCTGTGGCAGGGCGGGCTGGAGGGAGGCTGGAGCTGCTCCTGCTGGGGCTTCCCTGGCGCTGTGGCCTCAAGTTGCCACTGGCAATAGCCCTCAGCCCACCTCGGCGTGGAAATGGTGTCTGTGCCGAGGTGCCTGCCTGGGCAGGGGGCATTTGGCACCTCCATGGGCTCTGGGCTTCCCAAGGGACGCCCTGGTGGCTGCAGAGGGCACAAGGACAGGCACGACTGGCTCAGGTGGCCCTGCACCTCCCACGCTCCCAGGAACGAGCTGGGTGTGCCCAGAGCAGCTGTGGCTGCCCCTGGATCCCCGGAGTGCCCCAGGCCAGGCTGGGACAGGGGAAGGTGTCCCTGCCCCGGGAATGAGAGGAGCTTTCAGGTCCCTTCCAGCCCAAACCTTCCCAAATCACACACAAAGCCACGGCAGCCCCTGTGCCAGGCCCAGCTCACACCCCCACAGTAACACACACAGGCACCAGGTGGATAGAAAGATTTTATCAAGTTTTAAAAAAGAATCAAAAAAATTATTACTTTTTTTTTTATACACGTACATTACAAAATATTTGCAGTTGGGATCTTCATCCAGGGGTTACTGAGCTGATTATTAAAAACAACAAAACAAAGCAGCAGGAAATCTGGCTTATACAGCAACTGACAGGGAAAAGCACAGACATTACATGGGAATACAGGAGGCAGAGTCTGCACTGGGATGTGCAAGGATGGACCAGGGGCAGGCTCTGATCCCCCACACCCACTGCTCCCTGCAGAGTCCGGCCATCAGTGTTTGTTTTGCAGGGGTAAAAAAACAACCTGACAAATCTACAGTATTTTGCTGACGTGTTTGGGGTTTTTCGTCCTTTTTTCTTCTTTCTAAGCAGAGTTTCAGTGCTGAAACTCCTTTGGTCTGAAGTGAGGAACCCCCTGCACCCTGAGAGTATCCATCAAAGTCGCCCTTCCACCCCAGCCTGGCTGGGTCCGTGCAGGGCACTTCCCATCCCTCCTCTCCCACCTTATCTCCTGCTCAGCAATAAACCCCTAAGATATAAGTGGAATAATTACTCTTATAAATATATTTATATCATGTAGGAAAATAAGGCACTTCAGGAGGGGTTACAGCTTGTCTAATTCTATGACATTCTAATCAGGAAGAAAAATGGGTTAGTTTCTGAAGTGAATTAAAATGAATGTTAATACAGTAATAAAAACATCGGATCCACTTCCACTTCAAGGCTTTGTTTAAAAAGGAAGAGAAGAAAGCACCCCCGAAATCCAACAGCAGTGAAACCTGACCCGGGGCAGCTGCATCTGCCCTGCCAGGCAGCTCCGTCCCAGAGCCCCTCCAGGGCAGGGACTTCCAAAAGAAACACGTTAAATAAGTTCACGTTCTGAAAAAAAAAAAAAAATACAAAATCGACTGTCCCCTTTGCCTGCAATGGCACTGGGCAGGATCCCTCAGCCCGGAGCCCTGGGAGCCCTGGGCCGGCGCTGTGGCTGCGATGAGGGAGGAGAAGCAGTGAAGGTCACTGAGCTGGGCTGAGCCGGGCAGAGCCAGAGGCTGCCGGGAGCAGCAGCCAAGCGCTGCGGGCAGGACACGGCCAGAATGGTTAACAGGCAGGGAAGGCAGGCAAGGGAGGCAGAGCCTGCCCGGACGCGCAGCACGGGGCAATGGGGCAGCTCAGCTGGGCTTGGGGAAACAGCCCAGCCCCACCAAGGGGGAGGAAGGAGCCGGAGCCCCCATGCGAGGGCAAAGGTGGCAGGGCAGCCCTGCCCTTCCAGCACAGCTGCTCTGCCTTGCAAAGGTTGGTTTTGGCACCTCTCCTCCTCCCTGCTGCTTTCACAAACACTGAGCTCACTCGGTGGCCCAGAGCTCTGCGATTTTGCAAGGATACTCAGAGATGGTCCCTCTCTGGAGCAGCTGTTTCTCAGGGATACCCGCATAGGCTAAGGCAATCAAAGATTTAGGGAAAAAAAAAAAAAGGCAGAAATCAAAGGAGATTTAAAAAACACTCCAACACCAACCTCCCCTACCTGTCCACAACCGTTCTGTGTAGGATCCTGCAGTTTTGGTGCCTGCCCTGGGATGGGGTTTGGGAGCAGAGGCTGTTTCCAGCAGGCTTGCAGGGACAAGGCAGTGTCCCTCCCGCTGCCTGCAGGCCAGAGGAGCCACCTCCAGCCGTGCCCACACAGCAGCAGCCTTGTGCAATAGGCAGAGAGAGGGACGTGTCCCAGGGCCCCAGGCACGACACACCACCATGGGGCTCAGGGAATATGGCACTTCTGCTATTTCAGGCGACACAAAGACTCGCTCCCTTTCCCAGCAAGGCTAAGTCTAGTTAATGCAATCTCAGACTGAGCCAGGTTTGGCATTTGCGGGCTCCTCGCCTCCCTGTGTGATCCTGCTGTCAGCCCAGCTTAGCTCAGGGCTGTTTTTGCCGGGAACTTGTCTCTCAGAGCAGCCAGAGGAGGATGCTCGCAGAAAGAGCAGCAGAACGAGGCAGTGCCTCTCCTCCCCTCACCCAGCTTGCAGCAACCATCCCTCTGCATTTCCAAGTCTCTGCACTGCACTCCTGGGGTTTGCTCCCTGTTCCAGAACCTGGCACTAGAGCTGCTCAGCTGTTCCCTGCTGCCCAGACCCTGCATCCTGCCTGCAGACAAACCCGATGGTGCTGCCACCCAGGAACCTCTGGGGCATCACTGGCTCCCAGCTGGGGCTGCACCCCTGAGCCCATCCTCCGGCCATCCCTACACACACTCACTCACACACACACTCACACACACACAGAGGGAATCAGTAAGAACTCATGGCACAAGCTGAAGCCATCGATCACCTCCCAAGCAGGATTTCCAGCCAGCCTCGGGCAGGGCCCAGCGTTCCAGGTATCAGCACCATCATTAAAGGAGGCGAGGCAGGGAAGAGAGACAGGCACAGGCTGGTGAAATACTTTAGGAAAGGCAAAAGGATGGGGGAGTTGGTCTTAGTGGGACACGCATCCCACAACAGCTGGACCCATAACCTCAAAAAGGCTTTGGAATTGCTTTTTGCATGACCCTTACTGAGTCATGTCCAAATTAAAATACACATCAGGGGTATCTGGGTTAGATTTCCAAGATATGCTCATATTCTATGTAAGGTAACATAAAACAGCAATAAAACCGAGGTCAGCTAGTTCAAATTCCCCATTTTCCCCTGCCAGTACTGGATCTATAGTGAGCAGCCTGGGAATTAATTCACAGGGTTAGTGAGGAGAAAAAACGTTCCTTAAAATTAACTAATGAATTATAATAACAAAATTAGGGTAGGTTAGGTCTGATGTAACTGATGGGCAACTCAGTTCACACACACAATGATGTTTTTAGGCACACAAACTCCCCTCCCTGGGGGGAAGGGAGGAGAAGCAAAGGCAATACCAGCATTGAAGTCTCTGTGTTAAAAGTACGGTCACCCCGCTAAAAAAGCACCTCTCAAACTGCCCTGGCAGGCCAAGGACCACCACAGTGCCTGGTGCTCAGAGAACCCCAGCCCAGCTCCCCGTCCTAGGCACTGGATTTGGAATTTTAAAACACAATCTCAGCACGAATTGGAGAAAATCAGCCCGGCGAGGTCTGGCCCGCGCTCAGAGCTGACCACAGATGTGTCTCAGTGGGGCAGTGGCTCTGCTTTCCCAAGAGTGGGAAGCCGAACGAGCATCCTGCCCTGGTTTTACATCCCTCTGTGCAAGTCTCCTCTTGGCAGGAGGAGCCAAGGAGCTTTGAGGAAGGTAAAGGCAGCTTCTAAAATAAAAAAGTCTCTCCTTACACTGCACCCAAGGCACTCAGCACCCTCGGAGCTGAGAAATGCACCCCACGCAGGGTGATCTGGAATTAATACTCAGGGGTCAGGAGGGAAAGAATTGTGCACTAATGCCAAAAACCTGATTATGTGACAGTGGGATGCAGCAGAGAACTGACATTTAAAGCCCATTTTCTTGCAGCACTACCAGTATTCACTGGCAAGGAAGAGCCATCAGATCAACTGTCTGCTGTTGCGCTGAGAAAACCAGCTGAAAATGTCCTTCATCCAAAAGGCCACATGGCCACAACAGGATCATCCATCTTTACTTTAAAAATCCCTCAGGATGGAGGGTTTATATGTGCTCTGCCTGGTGGCATCAGAAATCTGGAGGTTTAGCTCTCTTTTAAACAAGCAACCGTTACACCCCCTCCAGCTAAATCCCAGCGCCGCATCCTCAGTGTCCGTGAGGAGACTTTTGGAAAGCAGAGCGCGGATCCTGCCAGGGCTGCAGGGGAGGGGCAGGGGAGACATGCTGCTGGTTGTCTGAAAACCCTTGGCGCATCTTTGGTTACGGGATGGGCAGGCTGTGGTGCGAGGTTTGGCCACCTGATCCGGGAAGAAGCGAGCCCAGGAGCGGAGGGAAGGAGGGGCGGGAGCGCGGCTAATCCGACCACTCGTCCTCGTCGAACTCGGAGGAGTCGTCCTCGGAGTCGCTGTACTCCACCGCGATGCGGCGCGACAGGATGGTGGCCACGTCGTTGCCCACCACGTCCCGCTTCTCCTGCTCCCGCTGCTCCTCCACCTTGCGCAGCTGGAAGCCTGGTGGGACAAGGGAACGGGGGGGATCACGCCAAGCTCCTGGTCACACACAAATGTCCCTTGTGACAGTGCTCTGAGCTGGGGCAGGCTGGGGGTGCTGGGGTAATGGGGACATGGGCTGGGTGGGGAGGTGGAATGGGAACCAAATCCCTTGAGTGGATTCTGCTTCTCCTGCTCCCGCTGCTCCTCCACCTTGCGCAGCTGGAAGCCTGGTGGGACAAGGGAACGGGGGGGATCACGCCAAGCTCCTGGTCACACTGAAATGTCCCTTGTGACAGTGCTCTGAGCTGGGTGTGCTAGGGTAATGGTGACAGCCAGGATGGGCTGGGTGGGGAAGTGGAATGAGAAGCAAATCCCTTCCACAGGGTAACCCCAGGGCTGTGCCTTCCCCAACAAACCTAGATCACACCAAATCCGGCACTGCCATCTCCACAAGTGCCGGGGGAAGCATAAAACCCAGCAACGTGCTCCTGAGGGTGGCAGACAAGGAGGGACCACAAGGGACAAGCCTTGAGCAGCAAGACAGTCACACTGCTCCCAGGAGACAGCTCCCAGGGGCTTTCCAGAGGCAGAGGAGGGCGCTGGCATGGAAACGCAGCCTTACCTTGCCGAATAGCCGACAGCAGATCGCTCCTGGCATCGCTCACCGCGGGCAGGGATGACTTGGGCTTGGCGGCGGAGGCGTCGGAGAGCGGAGGGGGCGGCGGGGGCCCGTCCAGGCCGCCGGGAGCCAGCGGGGGCGGCCCCGGGGGCGGCGGCGGCGGCGGCGGGGGCGGCGCGGCCCCAGCGCCCGGCTGCGGCCCCGGCGGAGCGGGCACAGCGCCGCCGTAGTCGGCTGCCGGCGGAGGGGGCGGGGGCGGCGGGGCTGCGAACTCGGGGTGCGGGGGGAAGGAGGGCGGCGAGGGCGGCGCGGGGGCGGCCCCCGGGGCCGGGAAGCCCACGGGCGGCGGCGGGGGGGGGGGCGCTCTCCAGCAGCGGCGGCGGCGGGGGCGGCGCCGGAGGGGGCGCGAAGCCCGGCCGGGCCGCGGAGGGAGAGCCGATCGGAGGGGCCGGCGGCGGGTGGCTCGGGCTGACCAGGCTGGAGCGCTTGGGCCCTCCGGAACCAGAACCTCTTTGGTTGTCTGCAGGATAGCTGCGGCAACAGAACGAGAGACACGGGGAATCAGCCCTGAGGCCGGATCAGACTGTACAGTCTCTGTGTTAACGCAAATCATGTGTGTTTGCTGCAGTCCGGACAAAAAAATCCAAGTTCCAGCTTTAACTGATGTTTCCATGAGACCTCACTCCTTGGTTTTAGTTCCCTTGCACTGTTTCTTTTGGCCTACACCTCCAGAAAAAGGAAAGCTTCTAGGGATGGCAGGAATGCTGTCCTCCATCCCATCTCCCGGGCTGACCAGAACGCGAGCCACCTCACCTTTGTCAGACGCCAGGTGGGCACATCCGAGCTCGGAGCAGCCCCTGGCTCCAGAGCTCCTGCCATCACCCTCCTCGAGGTCAGGCAGGGATCAGGGAACTCTGCTGGGATAAACTGCACGAGGAGGGCGGGGGTGCCAGGAAAGCATATGCTCTGAACACCTGCTGGAAGGGATCCCCTCCCTGGATTCACAGCCACGCCTCAGAGCTCGCCGTGGGGAGTGAAGGGGAGGACATGGGAACCCAACGTGCTCTTATGGAAAACACCAAGGCAAGGGGGACTGAATCTCCCATTGTGGAGGCTCTGCTCATCCCACAGCACTCCACTGCCCATGTGACAGTGTGACATCCAGTGCAAGGGACACCTGCTTCCATGGCAGGACAGAAAAATAAGGTACATGTGCCACAAAAACATCACCATTTTTAACAGCGCTGATCCAAAACAGACTCCTGAAGATCAAATCTACCTCCCAGGGTCCCTTAAAAACAACCATCAAAACAAAACCAGAAGAGGGGAGATCTGTGGCGTTGGGCAGAGATCTAAGCAACTGCATGAGGCAGTGAGAGCTTCATCTGAGAGCTCATGTCTGCTCTGCCCGAGAGGCACAGGCTGCAGAGTGCAGTGCTGGGTCTCTCTGACACATCAGAAAAGCCTTTGCTGCAGCATTGCTGCCTTTGGATAAGATGGACAGAAGCCAAGCAGCCCTGTCTATCAGACAGACTTTCTCTTGTTCCTCTTGACTCTGTTTTAATGCCTTTAAGAAACAGAAAAAGTCCACTCTCGTTTCACCCTTTGCGTCTTGAGCCACTGCTGGACTGTAACTGTCATCTCTGGAGGTGCCTGGGAGTCACCATTTCATTCAATCCCAAGTAAATGACCTGAACTTGCACCCAAGTCTCTGGGAAGGAGGCAGCTGCTGTGCTCGAGTCCTTGAAACTTAAACACATCTCCACCTCCAGTGCCCATGTCGTGCATTTCTCACAGATCAGAGCAAAAGAGGTTAAAGAAGCTGTTCTTTGCAAAGCTCTGTCATGGAATACCCTGAGTAGGAAGGGACTCACAAGGATCATTGTGTTCAATCCCTGGGCCTGCACAGGACACCCCCAAGAATTCCACAATGTGCCTGAGAGCGTTGTGCAAATGGAACATAAGGAACATCAGTCCATGCTATGGAACACCTGCACTGGAAAACCACAGCAATGGGGCCAAGCCATTCACGGGGACACTGCCGTGGAGTAAATCTGCTCCAGTTCTCCCCTTCTGCCTGGCATGGTGGTGGCGGCTGGGACTCACGGAGAGCTGCGCTGCCTGTGCCTGCAGTGGCACCTCCCTTCCAGGCAGGAGCATTCTGGTTCCCATGCACCACCCATGAGGAAGTGGCGCTGAACTATCTCAGCCTGTCTCATGTCATCCTTTTACACCACCTACTACTCCCTGGTGACAGAAGGGATCCCGTAGGCTTACCTAAATTCCAGCGGGGGCGGAGGCAGGCTGTCATCTGGGAACGAGGGAGGTGGTGGCACAATGGAGTCGGTCTGCGGCGGTGGCGGGTAGCAGCTCCCATCCATGCTCTCGCTGGAGCCGATGCTGCCGTTCTGGTACACCATGTTGGAGGGGTACCTGCCAAAAGCAACGCTAACTGTTTGCTTCAAGAGCTCAAGGCAATGTCTGCAGCTCATTTTTAACCCAGAGAGGCTGGCTGCTCCTGGATCCCTGGCAGTGTCCAAGGCCAGGCTGGACGGGGCTTGGAGCTACCTGGTCTAGCAGAAGGCATCCCTCCCCATGGAACTGGATGGACTTTAAGGCCCTTTCCAACCCAAATCAATCCATGATTTTACATCATTAAAAACCCCTTTGCTTCTCAAAGACTCCTATATGGAGAACTACATACACCTGTATGTGTTTACTCTACGCAATTCTTTGGCTAAAATTTGCTCAGGTGCTGCCCTGTTTAAGGCTGTTTATTCTGCACACCAGAACGGCAGGAGTATATATTTTATATTATATGTATAATAAACAAGCAAACACCTGAATACGTGCATTTTTCTTAACACTTGATTTTGTAAAAGCACTTAAGAGTGTTTTGACCAACTTGGACTTAAAGAACTTGCAGTTACACTGAGTATCAACAGTGGGAAAAACATTAGATACTCAAAGATGCCAAAAAATAAGCTCGAGAATAGAATATCAAAATGGAAACCACAACGCTGTTAAAACAAGTATTCAAAGATGGAATAGTAGTGAAAAGAGACTCTCATGCTTTCAGTGGACTCATTTCACTGTGGGGAGGGGGAACCACCCTATTTTTGGGGGCTCTGGACCCCAAGTGAATCCAAATGCAAGAACACACACACATGAGAAAAAAGGAGCAAGAAAATGGTGCTGTTGTGCTGCTCGATTCCCCTGCTAGAAACCAAACCTGTTCTCTTATTAAACTAAAAGCAAGTTTTATTTTTAGCTGGAGAGTGTGATTTAAAGAGAGATTTTTTTCTTATATGAAAGGAAGCTGCAAGGAAGAAGAGCATTGTGGGGAATTCGGTCTGCTTCCAGCCTTGCTGGTGTCAAAAGTTAAATGAATTCCCAAGCCAGAAGTGCTAAAGAGAGATCTGTAGCCTGAAATACTTGGATGGGGACAGCCCCCACTTCAACTTTAGGGTGTGAAGAGCCATTTGTGAGATGCAACAAAGCCATCACACAATGGCACCGAGATGCCACCCTCGGCTGGTGTGAGGGAAGGGCATCGCCGTGGGGCACAGCCAAAGCTCCCAACACCTCTGTGCCCACGGGCAGCGAGAGCAGCCAGAGCCACTCCTACCGCCGTGTTCCAGCTCCCTGATTTATCTGGCAAATTTCAGATCAGCAGGCGGATTTACTTGGGAGAATGTGATTAGTGGCAGTATCGATCTGGATCCGGGCAGCTGCAGCGCAGGGTGAACTGCATCCCAATCACCCAGCCCCAGAGCTGCTTACCCAGCAGGACCGTGCTTGTCCTTTGACTCCACAAATTCCTGTCCCATTTTCAGCTTCTCCCACTCCTCTTTCCGGGTTTTGATTTTCCGTGGATTCACGTTTCCTCGGTTCGGATTCTCCTTTTTCTCTTTCTAAGAGGGAGGGATCAAACACAAGCTTTATTTTGCTTTAAATTCACTGGGAATAGAGAGGAACAGGACAGACCTGGAGCAGTTACAACAAGACGCATTCTCAAAGAGGATTTTTAGTTTACTTTCCTGATTGCTGCACTCTCCAAAGATCTTCCATATAAAAAAGCTGGAGCACAGACAACATAAAAAATTCCAGACAACATCAGGTTGCCCAGGGCAGCCCAGACACGATGCCCTCATCACCCCCTGGCATAAGCAGCTCGAGGGCAGAGTAAAAGCTCAGTTTCCCAAATCGATTTAGGTTTTGGCCTCTGTGTCGAGATGCCCAAATTTCACCTTCACCCTCATGGTGTTCAGTGTTCTGGGGTGCAATATGGACACTTGCCCACAGAGAACTGGGCTGTAGATGGGCTCACTCAGAATTCTAACACACCCCACATCTCTCCTTTGTTATTTCTCATTGAAGAATCCCAATCTGTTTTCATGCTTAATACTCTAGTTGCTCAAAAGCTAAATAAAGTATGTTAAGAATACTTCTTTTATGCTATAATATAATTTAACATTAAGGCTCAAAGACAGTGGCATTTGGAAAAACCAATTAGAGGTATCTTTGTTCTCTTTTTTTAATTAACAAGGATGTGGGTAAACCAGATAAAACTTGACTGAATTGATCCCACAGGAGTCCAAAAGTGCAAACCTGAGTTTTGGATAGTAAATTTGGAGTCCAAAATTTATTAACACTTCCCACTTCCTCCTCCTCCCTTCCTCACCCTATGTTTCCGCTTTTCCTTCATGATATCCTTGGTGTCCTGAAGCATTTTCTCCTTCCAAAGGTCGAAGAAATACGAAGGATCTGTGTAGAATTTAAGTGCCTCTTTGCCATCATCCCTGGAACGGGGGGAGGAGAAAACCACACAGACAAGGATCAGGTCACACATTTCTCGGAAGGAAACACAAGGCACTATCTCAGACAACAATTCAGATGCGCAGTGAGATGGTCACAGGTGCTGTTCTTGCCTCTGCCCCCATTTCACAACAGGAAGAGCCCCCCATGTCAGTCACCCCAGCTCTCCCACGTCCCACTCCTCCTGCCCTCACACAAACCCTCCATTACTCAGCACCTCACGAGCTCAGCTGCTCTGAGCAATCACCAGGAGAGCAGCAGGTCTCTGGCTTCAGCTCCCTTTTGTCTGTGCTGTATTTTGGTGTGAAAAAACCTCCTCCTGCAGCTCAGGAACCCTAAATCAGAGCAGCAGCGTCCTTGAAGCTCCTGAGTGAGCGCACACAGACTCCCTCTCCTCCCACTTTGCAGTGCAGCCGCGTCTGGCAGGAGACAGCTGCCTCCAGCTATCTGTAATTACTTTTTACCTGCTCAGAAGATATTTATGGATGTGGGATAAGTCTCTGCATTCTGACCCCCTTTACTTCTACCTACAAGATGGAATCAGAGTGGGACTGCTGCGAACCGGTTACACAGCCAGGGTTGGTCCCTCCAGATGTCTCAGAGCAGGCACTGGAGGCCACGGGAAGCATCACCACGCCTGCTGCAGCCACCTGGGGGAGAGCCACCTCCAGGTGAGTGCTCTGCATCCCTCACTGCAGCTCTCTGGAAAGGAGCCATTGGGCTATGGAGGAGCACAAGGAGAATGCCTCATCTGCAGCACACCCAGCATGGTTCTGCAGAGCCAGCCACGCCTGGCCCCACGGCACTCACAGAAGTGACAGCAGAAAACCAAAGAGACCATTTTCTAGCTACGTTCATTTGTATGACCTCAGAAGCAAAGTTTCACATAATCCAAAGGACAGAGATCTCCTGGTGGATTTGTTTAGCAACTCAATTGCCCAGTGGAAACAGCTACTTCAGCCCAGCACAGCATGGGGAAGGACCTCCCTGGCAGGCTGGGAGGAAGAGTTTCTTCTCTGCAAGGGAACAAGGAGGTATTGCAGCCCTACCTGTAAGGTGAGAGGATGTTGAGAGGTGGAGGGGTGTTGCAGGTCCTGTAGGTTTCGAGGACAGGCACAGGGAGAGAATCTCGGTCAAAGAGCTTCTGGTCCTGAGTGGTGGAGCTTTTGAAGGCCTTCCTGCTGTTAATGCCTTGCAAGGAGACTGTAAGGAAGAGGAGAGAACAAGTGAGGAACAGCTTGACCCAGGCCAACGACCCTGAAGCCCAAGCAGTAAACATCTGATTTCAGTTGGAGTTCTTGGCATGCTTTGCAGTTCTTAAGGTCAGGTTCCTTTTCCCACAGATCCCCTGGGAAACCCATCACATCTCCAGCGTGCTGCCAAGACCTGCTGCTCCATCAACACAGCTCTCCCTCGAGTGGCCCACGGGCTTTGGAACCCCTGTGACCAAGCTCAAGCAGCTCATCCCCTGCCACCCAACTGCTGGAGAGTTCCCACGTGGAGAGTCACTGAAGAGCAAAGCCCAACCAGCTGTCCCAGTGCTCTGCTGGGAGGCAGGGAAACAGCCCCTCTGAGCCCCAGAGAACACATCCCAGCACCCACGGCAGCGCCATGCTGGGCTTATGGTGCTGAACCAACCGTGCTGACTCAACGAGAACCTTCACCACGCTCAGCCTGTGCTCCACTCCATTACCTTCCTCCTCTTTGGGATCCAGCTGAGTGACTTTGACTTGCAAGCGGTCAACTCTCTCGACCAGAATGCTCACCCGAGAGGCAAAGGTGTTGGCTTGAGTAAACAACTCTCCAAATATGTCTTCTGCAGATTTACCTGCAATATTAAAGTGTCCACATTACCCTTATGAACCACATCAGACCACACTCAGTCTCCCAGCTTGCTTTCATGAAGAAAGAAAGAAAGAAAGAAAGAAAGAAAGAAAGAAAGAAAGAAAGAAAGAAAGAAAGAAAAAGAAAAAAAGAAAGAAGGAAAAAAAGAAAGAAGGAAAAAAAGAAAGAAAGAAAGAGCCACTCTTCTTTTCAAGTTTGTCAGGGCTGAGTTTAACATCCAGAAAGAAAGTGCTTTGTTCCACCAAAACCTGACATTTCCAAGGGATCTTCAAGCAATAAGGAAACAATTGAGACACACTTTAAAGTCTATTAGAGTAACAAACTAAAGAGGGCTGACAACACTACACTGGTCTGAATGTGGATGCATCTGAAGGTCCTTTAAGATTCTCTGCTGTTCTGCTTATTAGACAAGGAAATACAGTTAGATCTTTATTGCTCTGGAGAATCTCAAAGGCTCCCAGTCTCCAGCAGGCCTGCCTCCAGGGGAGCTGGCACACATTTACAAGCTCAAAGTACTCTGGAAGTAGAGAGCAGACCCAGTCCTGGATCCTGAAGCTGGAGCTGAAACCGCAGCTGACAGCACTGACCCTGCTGTTCCTTCAGGTGGCAGTGTCTGAAAAATTGATGCATTCACATTGATTCCAAATCAAAACCAAAGGGGAACTTCCCAGTCAGGGACATTCTCTCTGGAACAGCCTGGACTGCCCAGTGGGCTGCTGTGACAAGCACCATCCATGGTTTGGGCCAGGAGAGCTGAGCCCGGGGCGCAGATCAGGAGCTGCTCCACTTACAGGAGTAACAGGAACATGGCCCCGTCCTCAGGAGTTTAAAACCTACAGTGCAACGAGAGATGGCCACAGGTAGACAGAGCGGCAGCCCTGGAGGAAACCCAAGAACTTGCGCGGAGTCCTGCTCTTTGTTCTGCTCCCAGGCGCAGCCCAGGAGGGCAGCCCCCAGCAGGAGGACAGGAGAGCAGAGCAGACTTGGCACCGAGCGCCGACACGGGCCCGTGGTGTTCCACTGATGGGAAACATTTCCAGCCACGGCTGCTGAGTACAGGGCTGCTCCCAATAAGCAGTCTGGTTTTGAAGTGCATCATCATATGGTCAACAGTTTGCTCTGGAATCTGTTACTCCTAAAGATCCTCTCCGACATTCAGGAAAGAAAAAACAGTTGGAAGTCTAATTTCAACAGCAATTTTGGAAAACACGGTTGTCTGCAGAGTCAGAGAGACAAAGCACCCTTGCACAAGGCAAGGCGAGGGCATCCCCCAAAGCCCAGCTGCACAAACACTCCCAGCTATCTAAGCTGACATATCAACTCCTTGTTCCTGCTCCCAGGAGATCTCCTTACACTGCCAAGCACGGGGAACAAGCCAGGTTAAAATTCAACCTTCTCCACCCCTTTTGGTGGCAGTGCCAGGTCCAAGTGTTTGTAGAAAGCAAATGCTGAAGGTTAACTTCCACTGACCTCTTCCTTCCACCCTCCTAGACAATGCAGGCTCCACATATGCTCAATTAACAAACCCAAACTCATGAGAAGGATTTTATGTTTGGAGATCTAAGGGCAAGGTAGCTCTCGCTGCAGCCATGTTTCATGAAGCAATCTCCATTTTCAATATCAGCACAGACCAACTCTCCTATTTGACCCAAAGAGAGCGAAAATTTATCTGTGGGGAAAATGTGAAACCTTCCAGCAACAGCTCAAAAAAGAAAAGTTGCAATTTTGTTTTTGTTTTCACAAGAAGTGAAAAACATTTCTGAATTTCACAAGGAACTGCAACAAGCACTAGGGGAAAATTAAGTCTTTGGCTTGCAAAGTATATTTCAAGTATAAAATAATATATATACTGGTTTTGACCCTGAAGAGAGAAGAGATGGTCTGTGTTCACTTGCCTGTGTAAGCGCACCTGGAGTTATCACCCACCATCTCACACATCGCCTGAGCTTCACAAACACTTTTAGATGGGGTGAGACAGAGATTAATTTTTTAGTTTAGTTACTTTGACTGCAAAAGTGCAGCTTACAATCAGAATTATCTTTGTCATGCACTGGCAGGAAGACAGACGGCATGATTTAATAGGTCCTTCCATCTTTAGCTTGTGGATTCTGTAAAATCACACAAAACCGCGCAGTCGACTTATACAAAGTGCTCCCAGCTGCGATAGTAACGAAGGGTAAACTCACTGGAATATGAAAGTTTGACAAGATTTATGTTTGCATCTTCGCAAAGAGACTGTGGTGCACCAGGCATGGCTGATTATTCACTTGACAGGGCTGTCACAGCCTACTGAACCTGCTCTATGCTCCTGTAATAGTCAAGGTACAAGGAGAGAGAGAATTTGTTTTTTGGAGAGAGGAAAGGGTAGGGGGCAGGAGTTTGGTCATTTGGGTGCAAGCGTAGTCTAAACATCGTTTTATTTAAAACACTGCTGACCCTGGGGCAGTGGATGGTGCTCAGCATTTCCCTCCCGCCGGCCCTGCTCTCCTCTCACACCAAGTGTCAGCAGGAGGCACCTCTCCTCTCCTCTCCTCTCCTCTCCTCTCCTCTCCTCTCCTCTCCTCTCCTCTCCTCTCCTCTCCTCACCTCTCCTCACCTCTCCTCACCTCTCCTCTCCTCTCCTCTCCTCTCCTCTCCTCTCCTCTCCTCTCCTCTCCTCGCCTCGCCTCGCCTCGCCTCGCCTCTCCTCTCCTCTCCTCTCCTCTCCTCTCCTCAGTTTCCCCCCAGGTACCGGTGACTGGTCCAGCAGCTCACACCTTCTCCCCACATGCCCCCTTCCCAGCTCCCAGGGTACCCTCCCAAAGAAGAAACCAACCAGGCTGTGATTTGGCTCCCAGCGCCTCAGAAGCAGAGCAGCTTTGAATACCTGTGCAAAGAAGGTCTAAACCTGTGGGATCTGGCCAGGGCTGTCACACTAGCCCACAGTGTCTCTGAACAGGGATGAGCCTTCCCTGCAGCTGGGCTTTGCACAGCTTTACTGCCTCCTTCCTCACCATTTCACATGCACGAGATGGATTTCACTCACACTCCACAGCCATCTTGGCTACCAGACCTAACAAATGAGCAACCGGGGCCAGTTGAACGCGAGCAGAGAGCCTGGTCTCGCCTGTGCAGTGACATTTCTCCAACCCAACAGAATGTGACACCGACTGGCAGCAAACACGGGCCCAGATTTCAGTGACAGCCATGGTTTGCACTGCTGGAAAGACGCTGCACCCAAACTTTGCCTGCCACATGGCGGAAGACAAGGGCTTTCTTTGCAGAGCAAGCAGAAGGGCTTGCTAACACCCCAGAGAAGCTAAACAATAGATTAATTTGATTATCAAAGTCTCGCTTCAAGGACAAAGGTGGTTAATCAGAACCCAGAGCATTTCAACAGAGAATGGAGTCATCCCGGAGAGACCACAATTAACTCTTGGTTTCTCCTACGGCATGTAGGCCTGTGCTTTCCCTCCAGCCTTTCCAAGGCTATGGTCAGCCCACTGGAGAGCTGAGCCAGGCACTGCTCCAGCTCACGCTGCCATTTGAGCGAGCAGCCCCAAACCACCGACGCTCTGGAGGCACCGCTTGGCTCACACAGGTCTTTGGGTCTCACAACGCAACAAACAGCAGCAGGGGCAAACCGGAGCTTCTGCGTGGGGGCTTTAATTATCTTTCATTAAAAATAAGACTACTGACATGGTGTAGATTCAACAGAGTCAAGCTCCATTTAGTAGCGCATGCAATTACAGGCACGTTCTCTGACACAAGATCCTGCCTGCTCCGAGAGCCTCCCATTTTACAAGCCTGAGTTGTGCTCCATCCTTCCATCTGCAGTTTCACTGCAGCCTCTCACATGCACACACACATACACACACCCCCCTCCCCATTTTCTCTTAGATAGGAAGGCAGTGGGACCAGGGATATGAAATTAGCATCAGATTTCTTTAGGAAAACATTTTAGCATTACCCAGGGAAGGCAGATGGGGGAGAAATAGGAACACGAGAGTAGAAAGGGAGCTAAATAAAGAGCAGTAGCGACTCCTGAGGGCAACGCGCAGGCTCGCCATGGTACTCACTCAGGCTGCCCAGCTGTCGAATGACATTTGCCAGGGTGATGTTGGTCACGCATTCCAGCTCGCTCGGAACGCTAGGCAACGTCTGACGGCACAGGTGCCTTGGCTCAATGTTCCTCGTTACTAACGGCATGGTGGACCTGCTTCAGGCACTGTTCTGAAAGATGAAAAACAACCCAAAAAAGAAACAGGAAAGGATTACTCAACCGCAAATTCCAGGCACACCAGAGCCATGGTGTTCGTTTTTCCTGCTCTCAAACGGCTTTACTTATAAGCCTTCTTCCCCCAGCTCCCCACCCTGAGAAAACTGGCTCATCAGACATAAAGATCCTCCTGTTCCCTGGCTCGCAGCGGCAGCAGAGCCCCAGCAGCCCAGGTACAGAGGCAGAGAGGGAGCCCTGCACACCTTGGCCCACGCTCCAGGGCTGCTCCCTTCGCAGCCGGCCAGGGCTCCGGCCGCCCACAGCACCGGCACGCCTCCTCCGAGCTCCTCTGCAGAAACATTCCCCACCTGCAATCAATACTGGCTTAAACCGTGGAGATGGAGACGGGAGATGTTATTACACAAAAAAAGGAAGAACAAAACAGGCTTCTCCCAGCACGCCAAAGCACACGTGGTGCCTCCCTCCTGGAGCAGCACACGGGGCTCTCTCCTGGAACAACAGGAAGCGCTTGCAGCTGACCAGGAAACTTTCTGGTGACTGTTCCTTATCCTGCAGGCTGCACCCCTCTTCCCTTGGGAAATCCCCCGGGGATGAGGTTTACACTGGACCATTGTTTTCCTGCTAGAGCAGTTTAAGGCTGAGGCAGCTCTAATCAGGATGCAGGACTGGAGTGTGCTCAGAGGCAAGTCAGGATTGATTGTACAACAGGCAGGACAAACTTCCAGTTCTTTAAAAAACTAATAAAATAAAAAACCTGGAGAAAAATTAAGTGTCTGGAAGTTATGTTTTGGACGCTTTCATGCGCAGGTCAGTGTCTTGAACTAACAAAAATCTCCTTTGCTAAGAGGCCCAAACATTTAAGCCTCAAACAGCTCCCTCCCAGATCATCCAGCTCCAGGAGGGAGAAGGAAACCTGTGTGACCAGCTCACTAGAAGGAGCATCATACACGCCTGAAATCTTTAGGACTAAGTGAAAGCAAATACATCCCAAGTTCGTGATTAATTTAGAAGGGGAAAGAATCACTTTTCTAGGTCAGCTGAGGAACAACCCAAGAGAAGCAGGCAGCTCCCATGTGATAGGCATGCGGATCTGCTCGGGCTGGGTGTAAAAATAAAACAGGAAGCTAACAGCTTGGGGAACATGGCTTCCTGTCACCACCAGCAAAAACCCAAGAACCATAAAAAATCAGCTGTTTGCTCTTGACTTTGAGCCACCCTTTGATAGTCTCTGTGGCAGCTGGCAGCTTATCTTTGAGGTCCAGGAGTCCTTCCTGGATGCTTTTCTATCAGGGTGTTAAGAGGAAGAAGTGGGCATTATCCCTCCTAATTACCTCAGAAGCCAGATTTTGAATTGCTAAATTTGACCCATTAAGGCAGAGGAGTTCAAGAGCCGCAGCACCGGGCGCTGGGATATCTCCCAGACAAGCAGATGTAGGCTGCTACCATTTTGCAACGCCTCTACACGAGGGATTTCACAGCATCTCAGAACGCCAGGATGGTTTGGGTTGGAAGGAACCCTAAAGCTCATCCTGTTCCAACCTCCTGCCATGAGACCAGGCTGCAGAGAAAGGGCCCCCAAAACCGAACGCCTTACGGAACAGGGGAGCCACATATGCATCCAAATAAACAAAAGCAAGACCCTCTGAGGATCGAGCCTGTGCTGCTTTTCCTCGTGTCCACTGCAGCCATCAGTAACTGCTGGGATATTTAAAGAACAGGGTGAACTAAGGAAGGGCTCTGACCTTCCCTTCCCAACACCGCGTATTTTATCGATTCCAGCCCAAGCCCTACAATCTTTTGTCAGCTTTAGTGCTTCATGCCAGACAAACTTTCCCAGCTCCCCCCAGACTGCAGTCTGCACCAACAAGCAGCTCTCATAAACAAGGCAGCATTTGCAGGCTGCCTGCATCCAGCTTCTCCCCTATGCTTCCCCAGGGCTTGGCCAGGGAGCACACACAGTGGGATCTGCAGAGCTGGGCTGGACAGCCTGCCTGGAAACCTTCCAAGGTGGAGGACAGACAGAAGGAAAACAGCAACAGGAAAAATAAGCCTGCAAGTGGGGGATGAGATGTGAGCATTCTGTACAAAAGGAGACAAAAAAAAGCCCCCAAGATGATGGGCAGCATGGTTGGATAAATGCAGGTAACACTGATCTCGGCAAAGATGGGGAAGACAAGGCAGAAAATGGGAGCAGTGCTTCAAATAACAACAAAAAAAGGGCTCTAAATATGCTGCCTGTATACAGACACCCCAAAAGTGCTTGGCTTCAAAGCATGTTTTGGAAGTAAAAGCAAGGAGTAGTGGTGAGAACTGCTTTTCTTAAAAGAAAAACTAACGTAGAGAGCACGAACAGCACAGATTTGCAGTATTCATTACAGTCGCGCTTTACGGCAGTATTCATGACAGTCGCGCTTTACGGCCGGTTTTACGACAGTCGCGCTTTAAGGCGCCTTTTACAACAGTTGCGCTTTATGGCACTATTCACGACAGTTGCGCTGTACAGCCCCTTTTACGACAGTCACGCTTTACGGCCAGTTTTACAACAGGGGCGCTTTAAGGCAGTATTTACGACAGTCGCGCTTTACGGCGCCTTTTGCGACAGTCGCGCTTTACGGCAGTATTCACGACAGTCGCGCTTTACGGCAATATTTACGACAGTCGCGCTTTACGGCACCTTTTGCGACAGTCGCGCTTTACGGCACCTTTTGCGACAGTCGCGCTTTACGGCAGTATTCACGACAGTCGCGCTTTACGGCAATATTTACGACAGTTGCGCTTTACGGCACCTTTTGCGACAGTTGCACTTTACGACACCTTTTGCGACAGTCGCGCTTTACGGCAGCATCCACGACAGTCGCGCTTTACGACACCTTTTGCGACAGTCGCGCTTTACGGCAGCATTCACGACAGTCGCGCTTTACGGCACCTTTTGCGACAGTCGTGATTTACGGCAGCTTTTGCGACAGTCGGGATTTACGACAACATTTACGACAGTCGCGCTTTACGGCAGCTTTTGCGACAGTCACGCTTTACGGCAATATTTACGACAGTCGCGCTTTACGGCACCTTTTGCGACAGTCGCGCTTTACGGCAGCATTTACGACAGTCGCGCTTTACGGCACCTTTTGCGACAGTCGCGCTTTACGGCAGTATTCACGACAGTCGCGCTTTACGGCAATATTTACGACAGTTGCACTTTACGGCACCTTTTGCGACAGTCGCGCTTTACGGCAGCATTTACGACAGTCGCGCTTTACGGCACCTTTCGCGACAGCCGCGCTTTACGGCACCTTTTGCGACAGTCGCGCTTTACGGCAGCATTTACGACAGTCGCGCTTTACGGCAGCTTTTGCGACAGCCGCGATTTACGGCAATATTTACGACAGTCGCGCTTTACGGCAGCATTTACGACAGCCGCGCTTTACGGCACCTTTCGCGACAGTCGCGCTTTACGGCACCTTTTGCGACAGTCGCGCTTTACGGCAGCTTTTTGCGACAGTCGTGATTTACGGCAGTATTTACGACAGTCACGCTTTGCGGCAATATTTACGACAGTCGTGCTTTACGGCAATGTTTACGACAGTCGCACTTTACGACACCTTTTGCGACAGTCGTGATTTACGGCACTATTTACGACAGTCTCGCTTTACGGCGCCTTTTGCGACAGTCGCGCTTTACGGCACCATTTGCGACAGTCGTGCTTTACGGCAGTATTTACGACAGTCGCGCTTTACGGGACCTTTTGCGACAGCCGCGCTTTACGGCAGCATTTACGGCACCTTTTGCGACAGTCGTGCTTTACGGCAGTATTTACGACAGTCGTGCTTTACGGCACTATTTACGACAGTCGCGCTTTCCGGCACCTTTTGAGACAGTTGCGCAGGTTTTTCTTGCCCATCTTGGGGTTTTTCCTGGTTTTTTCTGGCCAGTCTTGGGGGGTTTTTTCTTGGTTTATTCTTGCACATCTTGGGGGTTTTTTCTTGCCCGTCTCTGGCGTTTTTTCTGGGATTTTTTTTCTGGGTTTTTTTCTTGCCCATCTTGGGGGGTTTTAAGTTTTATTTCTAGGTTTGCTCTTGCCCATCTTGAGGTTTTTTTCTGGGGATTGTTCTGGCTTTTTTCTGGGTTTGCCTTCATGATCACAGCAGTGCTTCCTAAGGCCATGGGGACAGCTCTGGTGCCCCTAAGCCCAGCCAGGATCCAGCAAACTCAGGGATTAAATTAACCCTGGGGAGCACTGGGGACGATCAAGACAGGAAGGGCAGGACGGGCTGTGGACAACCACCCTGCTCTCCCAGCAGCTTTTGGATATGAGGCATTTTAAAGCAAAAATTCCTCTCTTCCGAGCAGAAGGACGAGGAGCTTCAAGATTTTAGGAAGGAAATCTGGGACCTGCAAAAGGAGCGAGTGATGTCCCTGCAAGAAGACTGTAAGACCTTGCTTTTTCCTGGAGTGTTTGGAGGGTAGGATAGAGATAACAGCTAATGGGCTCCTGTAAAACCTACATGCCTGGTGAGTAGGTGGGACAAAGATTAATAGTGTGGATTTGAAAATAAGTGGTGTATTTCAAAAAGCAGGAGTCAGGTGGGGCAGAAAACCAGGTGTGCAGAAGGGGCAAGGCGTGAGAGCAAAGGGGGAATGGGGAAGAGGAAGCAAACACTGGAGGCAGCACAAGGCATGAGCTGGGGGCAGGGAGGAGACACAACAAATAAAAGAGGGACAGAGCTAGAAAAGCTTTCTGGAAGGCTCATGCTGTTACTCTTTAAGAGAGTCATTAAGGAGGTGACTGACAGCGCAGTGCCAAGCACGGGCCATCCAGAACCACTTCACTTTCCGTGCTCAGGCCATGACAGCACAGCACAATTCCACCCCGGCTGGCCAGCCTGGTCATCAAGCATTAGTCACTGTCACACAATGACCACAGACCATATATTATAACTAAATCCTACCATTCAGATGCAACTTAAATGAATTGCAAGGCCGAAAATCCTTATCT